CAAGCCCATAGCCAACATAAATGGAGAGAAACTCAAAGCATTTCTACTAAAATCAAGAAGAATAAGAAAAGGTTGTTCACTTTCTCCATACCTATTCAATATAGTACTTGAATTCTTAGCTAGAGCAGTAAGACAACACACACACACACACACACACACACACACAAAACCAAAAAGGCAAGTGAAAGACTTGTATACTAAAAACTTTAAGGGCTGGAGGGATGGCTCCAAATATGAGAGCACTGACTGTTTCTTCCAGAGGTCCTGAGTTCAATTCTCAGCAATCACATGGAGGCTTACAACCATCTATAATGAGATCTGATGCCCTCTTCTGGAATGCAGACATGTATGCAGACAGAACACTGTATTCAAAAACAAAACAAAACAAAACTTCAAGATACTGAGAAAATTGAAGAGGACATTAGAAGATGTAAGATCTCCCATGCTCATGAATTGGTAGGATTCATATAGTGAAAATGGTCATCCTATCAAAAGCAATCTATAGACTCAATGCAATTCCCATTAAAATTCCAACACAATTCTCCACAGAACTTTCCAAACCTAATTTTCAACTTCATATGGAAATACTCTAAAAAAGCTAAAACAATCCTGAATAATGAAAGAGCTGATGAAGGTATCATCATCCTAGATTTTAAGATGGACTGCAGAGCTATAGTAATAAAAACAGCATGATATTGGCTTAAAAACAAACACATCGATCAATGAAATCAAAATGAAGACCCAGACTAAGTCCACACACCTATGGGTACCTGCTTTTTGATAAAGAAGCCAGAAATACACACTGGAAAAAAGACAACATCTTCAACAAACGGCGCTGACCTAACTGGATGGCTGCATGAAAGAACGCGAATAGATGCACATTCATCACCCTGCACACAACTCACTTCCGAGGGGATCAAGGACCTCAACGAAAGATGCCCGAATCTGAGCGAAGAGCACGTGGGGGAATAGTCTTGAGCTCAGACACAGAAAAAGACTTTCTGAACAGGACACCAGTAACCCAGGCCTAAGACCAACAACCTGAAAGCCTCCCCATGGCAATGGAGACATTGCCATTTGGACAAAGTGGCAGGCCACACAATGGGAAAAGATTTCTACCAATTATACATCTGTTAGAGGGTTACTGTCTAAAATACATAAAGAACTAAAAACACACACACACACAACTGGACATCAAAAAAACAAATGACCCAATTAAAAAATGAGATAGAACTAAGCAGAGTTTTCAAAAAGATAAAACGCAAGTGGTTGAGAAACACTTAACAGAATGTTCATCATCCTTAGTCAACAGGGAATGCAAATAAAAACTACTTTGAGATTTCATCTTACACTGGTCAGAATGGCCAAGGTCAATAAAACAAATGATAGCTGATGATGATGAGGATGTGGAGGAAGGACAGCCCTTGTTCATTACTGGTGGGAGTACAAATTCATATAGTCACTACGGAAACCAGTGTGTTGGTTCCTCAGGAAGCTTGGAATAAATCTACCTCAACCTTTACCCATATCACTCTTGGGTATATACCCAAAGGACACTAAACCTACTACAGAGACACTTGCTCAACCACATTCATTGCTGCTCTATTCATAATAGCCAGAAATTGTAAACAGTCTAAGTTTATCAACTGATGAGCAGATAATGAAAATGTGGTACATTTATACAATGGAGTATTATTTATCTGTTACAAAATTATGAATTTCATAGGTAAATGGATGGAGTTAGGAAAAAAACCACCCTAAATGAATTATACAAACATTGTATGTTTTCTCTTACATATGGGGATGTTGGTTTTTTTTAATGATTTATTTATTTTTATTTTATGTGCATTGGTGTTTTGCTTGCACACATGTCTGTGTAAAGGAGTTACAGACAGTTGTGAGCTGCCATGTGGGTGTTAAAAATTGAACATGGTCCTCTGGAAGAGCAGTCACTGCTCCTAACCACTGAGCCTCCTTTCCAGTTTCATGAATGCTGGTTTTTAAGCCTCTGATATGTATGCTATGATCTGTATAAACATAGAGGCTAGGTACCTAGGAAGGGACTGGGGGACAGGGGAGGAGAGCACCTCCTAAGGAAAGGTAAATAGAATACATTGTTATGAAGACATGGCGGGGGGGACCTTGGTGTGTGAGGGATATTAAATGGGGAGAAGGATGGAAAAGAAGGATAAGGTAGGATATGGGGAAGGACAACTAAGAAACCTACTACTGTAGAAGCCGACAGGGTCCATAGGTATGGGTCCATTCTACCTTGACTAATGGTCAGAGAGCTGGAACTTCTGTTCTCTCAAAGTTGTCAACAGTTCAGACAACAGGTGTGGCTAATAACCAGACCTGATATTTCAGGTATTAAGAAGTAGATGTTTCTACCCCAAACAAAAGTCTAAAGATCCAACTAGGTTCCTATTCCCTTAGCGAGATAACAATGGATTCCACCCAGAGAGTGGTTTGCCTACAGAATGTTTTGGTCTAGGGTGTGAGCATTACTTGTTTTGTTTTAGCAACAGAATATTTAACTAAGAATGTAGTCCGTAACCTTTCAATTAGTCTGTTAATGCAGTTTTTTGTTTTGTTTTGTTTTAAATCTACCTTTTGGGGTCGGGGTATTTAAGCAAACGGAAATTAAAGGTGGGTGAATTCTCAATTTTCTCTGGAACTCCCTCCCGATACTACCCTATGTTTCTGTTTGCTATTTTCACTCATGTCTTCATTTTCTTTACTAATTTTTCTAATCCCCATGTCCCTACCGTGGTAAGTGGTTCTCTTATGAAGCTGGTTTCCGACAAGAAGCTTCCTAAAACATATACATACATGAAAGAAATCCAAATGGAGTCAACAAGGGAGGACATCTAGACCTAGACATCTTTTGCCAAATGAAACCAACCTTCAATGCAGGAATGTGTTATATCTAATCAAAGGAGCACTAAGAAAACCCCAAACACCTCAGGCCTAGGTCATTGTTGGTCTTCACAACCGATCGCTGAAGACAACACTGACACAATCTCATTAATCATGGAGAAGTCAAGCTGCTCTGTGATAGAGGCTTTACTCCTCCAGCTGGCGTCCATGGTACTGGAAGGTGCTCTGCATACTACTAGAGGAGAAGGTAACCATCAGGTCAGTCCTGTGATCTTGCCTGCAAAATATGCTGGTGCAATAGTAGCACAGATGTTGTGGGGATAAGCCTCTGATTGGACTTAAGGCCCACTCCAGGAGCTAGAACCCATACCTGACTGCTCGGGTGGCCAGGAACCTAAGCCTGGATGGGCCATGTGCCTAGGAGAAGACCAAACACTATAGTCCTGCTATAAAATGACTCCTCGTGACATTCTGCTCAGCCATCCTCAGAGAAGCTTCTTGCAGTGGATGGGAATTAACACAGAGGCCTACAACTGTGCAATGTACAGAGTCAGAGATTTTGGAGCACTCTATCCTAAATTGGATGTCTTCAAACCCTCTTCTTAGGGCTCAGATAGCTATGTTGAAAAAGCAGGAAGAGATTGTAAGAGCCAGAGAGTATGGATGACTTCCATCAAACAGTGAGATGACCCCAGACACAACAGGACTGATGGCATATGAATTCAGAGACTTTGGCAACAAACACAGGGCCTATACAGGTCTAAGCCAGACAGGGTCTCATTATTGAAAGGGGGAAGTGGCCACGGCACAGGCTCCCATCTCTAGTTAAGAAGCTATCTGCAGCTGACACCTTCTTGCAAATGAAATTTAGTCTTCTCCACGAGAATCTCACTAAGTATATAAGCCATACTTCAGGGGAGGTCTCAGCAGGAGATGGCCAGCGTAAAATGGACATTATTTGTGCCATCTTTTTGTTTCAAATTGCTTTGTTTGGGCATCTTTTTGTGTTATTAGATTTTGCTTATATATTTTGTTTCTGACTTTGTGTGTCTGTGGTGTGTGTGTGTGCATGCAAGAGAGAGAAAGATTACTTTTTTCCATTTGGTTTGGGGATTTTTTTTTAAATATTTATTTATTTATTTATTTATTTATTTATTTATTTATTTATTTATTATGTAGACAATATTCTGTCTGTGTGCATGTCTGCAGGCCAGAAGAGGGCACCAGACCTCTTTACAGATGGTTGTGAGCCACCATGTGGTTGCTGGGAATTGAACTCAGGACCTTTGGAAGAACAGGCAATGCTCTTAACCACTGAGCCATCTCTCCAGCCCGGATTTTGTTTTTTAAAGAGAAAGAAAGGTTGTGGAGTAGCAAAGTAGGGAGGATCTGGGATGAGTTGTGGGAGGGAAAAAGCACGATCAGAAGATAGGGTATGAAACAACTCTTTTTCAATTAAAAATAAAATTGCCAAATCATCATCAACAACACACCCAAAACAAAATAGCACAAATGGAAAAATCCAAGATGAGACAGCATTGTGTGACATATTTAGAAGTGTTACTAGGAAAGGAAGAAATATCATCTCATCCTACATCCTTCAAGAACGAGGGAGAAATGAAGATACTCTCAGACAAACAAGGGCTGAGTGGGTCTGTTAAAAAAGTAACTGTGTCCAATAGAAAGGCTAAGGGGAGTAGGTTCACTACCCATTAACTTGAAACTGATAAAGAAAACAGACAGCAGCAAAAGACCAGCTCATAGGATACAGGGATGAACAAAAAATCAAAGAGGGAAGAACGGTAGCGCACGCCTTTAATCCCAGCACTTGGGAGGCGGAGGCAGGCGGATCTCTGTGAGTTCGAGGCCAGCCTGGTCTACAAGAGCTAGTTCCAGGACAGGCCCCAAAGCTACAGAGAAACCCTGTCTCGAAAAACAAAAAACAACAATATATATATATATATATCTTCAGATAATCTAAACTAGACACTAGCTGGCTCTCTGCTGGACAGTGAAGAGTGAATTCAAGCTGTCCTTCAAATAAATATGATAGACAAAGAAGAGGCAGCAGGAAAAACAAATAAGAAAATCAACTTAATTCACTTTCGCCAGGATTGTACCTGTTTGTGGCAGCATCCTGAATGCTGGCATTTTTTTGAGTTAAACTATCTTCTCTTGAAGCCTAAGAAAATAAAATAATAATAAACACTGAATCGTTGAAAAAATACTCAAGTAACAAATTTATCTTTCTTTCCTGTAAAAGCAGAAAAATTAACTTGCTTCAGTTCAAATAAGAGGTAATTATATCTTACCAGTACCATACCTAATATAATTCTATCCAACAACCAGGTCAGTAGACAATAATAATAATAATAAAGTTCAGAATGTTGAATATGCTTGGCACATTTTCTTACCACACAGTCATTAACTACTCAAGACATTACAGATTTTTTTACCCAATGCAAACAAAATTCACAAAGATTCAACACCAGCATTTTTTCAAATTTACATGATAAAAAGAATATGTATAGCTATATATTTGGTTTCTCAAATGTGAGGAATATTTTAAGTAAGAAATCCAGAAGTTTTTCTGAAGAGCTCAGTTTTACCCAACATTACTGAGACTGAAAAATCCACCGTGATTAAGAAGAGACCAGCATCGCTGAGGTTAAATCTTCTGAGAAGTATTTCTTCAGGGTTAGAACACACAGAACTGTGGTTCAGAGTGGGCTAAGGCTGTTTCCTATGCTGGCAGCCAAACTAGGTAATGTTTAAGTTTGTACTGGATTTAAAGGTCATGGGGTAGCCCCTATAAAATCAGAGATCCACATGCTTCTGCCTCCCAAGAGCTGGGATTAAAGGCTTGTGTCACCACCCCTGGCCTAACTGTACATATTTGTAAATATGTAAATTGTATGGGTTTTGAATGATAAACCAAATTTTCTCCCGACACACACCTTGTTTTGTTTTTTTGTTTTTGTTTTTTGGTTTTTCAAGACAGGGTTTCTCTACAGCTTTGGAGCCTGTCCTGGAACTAGCTCTTGTAGACCAGGCTGGTCTCGAACTCACAGAGATCCGCCTGCCTCTGCCTTCCGAGTGCTGGGATTAAAGGCACGCGCCACCACCGCCCGGCTGACACACACCTTGTTGATCATAAAGTATAACTGTATGTTTTGGTATGAGAAAGACACTTACAGTGTAAATCAGGAAACTCTTCTTTCTGTCCTGAAAGAATCTGTATATTATTGTTATTGCTTCTTTTAAAAATATAGTATAAAGCCAGGTATGGTGGTGCATATCTTTAACCACAGCATTTGGGAGGCAGACAGAACTCTGAGTTTAAGGCCAGCCTTGTCTACACAGTGAGTTCCAGGACAGCCAGAGCTACACAATCGAGAGATCATTTCTCAAAATATATAAATAAAAAATAAAAAATTGGGTAGATATTTACCATGAAGGCATCTGCTCCTAGAATTTTCTTTATAAAGTGGTTGTCACTATAAAATAAGGTCCTTGTAATTTAAAGGTATTAAAATTATTTCTCATTTTATTCAATCAGAAACGAACAACTGAAATGTAAGATCAGGTTGTCTTTGTCCATTTAGTCTGCTGTAAGAAGCCGTGAGCCAGAGAGCATACAAATAAGCATTCACACCACTCTGCTAGAGGCTGGGAAGTCCAAGGTCAAGAAACCAGTCTCAGGGGACAAACCAGTTCCTTGGCCCTTTCCTAAGAACATTAAAGAAATTCAGATTATATGTTAATCACATCAGCTGTTACAATGACTGTTACTATCAGGGCCTTTTATTTTATTTTATTTTAGACATGGTATCACTATAACCCTGGCTGGCCTGGGACTCAAGAGATATACCTGTCTTTGCTTCCTGAGTACTGTGTATCTACCATGCTCAACTGGGCCATACTTTTTAGTGTTTGTTATGTTTCTACTTTGCATTTATTACTTTATTTCATTCTTACAAAGCATCTTAAGGAAGGCATTATCATTATCTTATTTAAAAGAGAAAACAAAGTGTGAAAAATAAACTAATTTGCCCCAAAACACAAAGTTGGAAGGGTACAGACTAGAAATGAGATTCTAAAGCCTAGACTTTCATATCTTACATTTATCATCTAAACTGTTATGTATGCTTTAGTGTTTGTCTGGTATCATGTCCTAGCTAAGAGTCACTATTGCTGCGATGAAACACCATGACCAAAGCAACTTGAGAAGGAAAGGGTTTATTTGGCTTACACTTCCACAGGGATGCTCAAGACCGAAGGAATTCACGAGAGGAACTCAAGCAGGGCAGAAATCCAGAGGCAGGAGCTGATGCAGGGGCCATGGAGGAGTGCTGCTTCCTGGCTTGTCCTTCATGGCTGCTCAGTCTGCCTTCTTATAGGACAAAGGACTACCAGCTCAGAGGTGACAGCACCCACAATGAGCTGGGTCCACCCCACCAATCTCTAATTAAGAAAATGCCCAGCAGGCCTACCTGCAACCCAACCTTTAGAGGCCTTTTCTCAGTTTCTGCTCTCTCATTACTATAACTGTGTCAAGATGACATAAAACTGGCCAGCACACATCAGGACCATAGCTACTGGAGAAAGCTTACCTTATGCACTGCTTCTACTTGAGCCTTCAAAATATTGCTCTTGAAGTCAGGAGGAACCCTTACTGCATTCAATCCTGGGCTCTCAATGGCATTATTAAGACATTTCTCAGTCAACTTTACCACTTCTTCCTGAATATTAAAAAATAAAATCACTCTTGAGAGGCCATAGTTATGTGGAAACAGGAATGTTGAACGTTTGTATTCAGACAACCAGGAAATAATACACTTCAGGCATCTCCTGTTCGAGCTACTCACTCCTGCAGCCATCTACTGCAGAGAAGGAGCTCCAGAACCAAAGAACCTGCCCCTAGGGGGTCCAATCTAGAGTCTTCCTGGGGTAAACGTCAGCAAGAGTCATATCCTCCATGAATGTCTTAATTCAATCATTTCAGTACCTTAGCTGCTTAAAGATAGGAATTAGGTCCTATGATATAAAAAGGTCCTGAGCATTCATATTTCATGTTTATAACTCTGGAGTTGTCACCATGGAAGGAGTTGACATTTTGTAACAAAGTATATGTAACAATTAATATATTGAAAACATTAAAATATGTAAACATTCTCAAACATACTGATGAAAACCACAAATAATAGACCCACTTAATAGTGACAAATTAGCTAGCAGAAATAAATGGAGGTATACTAATACATTTAAAAGAAATATAAACAATCCGTATTATATTTAATATTTTGCTTAACTTAAACAGTAATTTATGACAGAATAGCTGCCGGGCCTAGGACTGCCTAGCTTAGATACCACTTTCCAGGTCTGAACAAATTTGATGTACTTATTCCAATTTTGATGTTTCTCAATGGAGTTTATTTCAGCCTCTAGGAAGCACCCAAAAATCTGAATTTAAAAATTTTGTTTTTTGAGAGATTCTCCTTATATAGCTCAGACTGGCCTTGAGCTAGTAATCCTTTGGCTCAGCATCCCAAAGACCAGCGGGCCTGCCTCTAAATTTGAATTTTTAACAAGCTTTCATATATAATTCTGATAGAAAAAAAGTCTGAGAACCACTTTTTAAGATTTGATCTTGCCTGCAAACCCCTAGCTCCTATTAGCAAAGTCTCTCCCTCTCCCTGTCCCCCCACCTCTGTCTCTCTGTTACTGTGGGCTGAACAGACCTCATGCACCCCTTTCTCTTGGTGAATTCAGAGACAGGCTCTCACTGAGCTGTTCAGGTTGATGCTGAAATGACCATACCCTTGGTAGATCTTGGATTTACGATTTTTCTGCTTTAGCTTCCCAACCTTCTGGGACCAAGCTCAGCTCACAGTAATCCTCTATGTCCTTTTACAATCAGGGCTCACTCAAATGTCCTGACATTTCCCACTTTCCGAAGATGTTGCAGAGTTGAGTACTTCTTAATCATTGGCACATTACAACCATTCTCACTTCAAACCTCAAAACACAGGCATTAAGATAAAAAATATACAAACTACTTAACCTATAACTTTCAGTCTGCCCAATAGTGCTTTTTCACTGTGCTTATGTAGTTTTTAAACTATGTGCACGAATGTGACTGTATGTGCATGGTAAGTGCAGTGCCCATAGCGGTCAGAAGAGGGCATCACATACCCTGAGACTTCAGTGACAGGACTGTGAGCTAATATATGGGTGAGCCTCCATGTGGTGCTGGGAATCAAACCCAGTGCTCTAAACCACTGACTATCTCTCTAGCCCCTCAGTGTGTCTTTTAAAAAACCACCATGAGTTCGGCAGTCCCGAGACTTAGGAGGTGAGGCAGGCAGATCTGAGTTTGAGGCTAGACTGGGCTGCAGAATGAATTACACGACAATCAGGACTGAACAGAGAAATCCTGTCTCAAAAACAAACAAACATCCATCATGAAAAACCTTAAATTTTATTTATTTTTATGATAGTGTTGAACTCACTGAGCTATGCCTGCTTCTGATCTTAAAATTATTTTTTCTGCATTTATTTTTAATTCACGAGTGTGTGTGTTTTGAGAAAGTGTTTCTTTGTGCAGCAAGATTTATTTGTTTGTTTGTTTATTTATTTATTTATTTATTTAGTTTTTTGAGACAGGGTTTCTCTGCAGCTTTGGAGCTTGTCCTGGAACTAGCTCTTGTAGACCAGGTTGGCCTCGAACTTAAAGATCTGCCCGCCTCTGCTGTCCGAGTGCTGGGATTAAAGACATGTGCCACCACCGCCCAGCTTCTCATTAAAATTCTTAATGTTGTCATGCAACTTTCCTCCTCCCCATCTACACAGTCACACATTTCACCTTTTAAAATGGGAACACAGGTCTATGAGAGCTCAACAGACAGACTTCCCACCACAACAGGAGATCTCACCTGAGAAACCGCTCCCATCAGACTGGCGTGCTGGCAAACTGTGAGCAGCTGGTTAATGACTGATGTGGCGGAGCCCACTGTGGGTAGGTGGTCATGGGTTGTAGAAGACAGCACACTAAGCAAGTCATGGAGAGTAAGCCAGTGAGCAGCACCCGCTATGGCTTTTGCTTTACTTCCTGCCCTAGGTTCCTGCTCTCACTTCCCTTCATGGAGGACAGTAAGCTGTAAGATGAAACCAACCCACCCCTCTCCAGCTGCAAATGTCTTTCTGGGAAGTATGATGATGCTGTATAACAAGGAGACACAGAAAAGATCCCAGTACCTGGCTGTTGACATTAATGTCAATGGGAGGTCGAGGAGATGGCAAGATATTCTGCTCCATTTCGAGCTCTTTAAGCTTCTCTGTGTCATCTTTTAATGCTAGAAGAAAAAAAAACAACAATCTGTTTCATTAGTCTGCCTGGCTCTGACAGTTACAGGAGGGTGCGCACTGAAGTTCTGTGCTTTCTTCATTAAGAGTGGAATAAGCTGGGTGGTGGTGGTGCACACCTTTAACTCCAGCGCTTGGGAGGCAGAGGCAGGCAGGTCTGAGCTCAAGGCCAGCCACTAAAATGTGAGTTCTGGGACAGCCAAGGCTAGAGAGAAACCTTGTCCCTTCACCCACCCCCCCCCCCAAAAAAAAAATTAGAGGAAAGAGGGTTGTTGCGTTGAAGGGACCTTCTGAAAATGCCTGTCAATAAATCCAGGGGCTTCTTGTGGCTGCACATTAGAACCATATCTAGGGCCTTCAAGGAATTCCCAATTCCCAGACTTGTCCTAGTAATCTTTAAAATCTCTGTTCTGGAATGTGTGTGCATTTGTAGGTGGGAGGACAGCTGAGAGGCTGTTTGCATCCTTTTCATTCTTTCTTGCCACCACGGGGTCTGCAGATGAACTCAGGCCGCCAGGCTTACTTAGCAAGCACTTTTACCCACTGAACCATCGCACTGGTCAAGAATAATTTAACAGACTCTCTAGAGCAGTGGTTCTCAACCTTCCCAGAGTTGGGCTGACCCTTTAACACAGCTCCTCATGCTGTGGTGATCCTCAGCCATAAAATTCTTTTTGCTGCTACTTCCTAACTGTAATTTTGCTACTGTTATGAACGGTAATATAAATATGATATGTAGGATATACAAAAGGGTCATTTGATCCCCAAAGGGGTCATGACCCACAGGCTGAGAACCTCTGTTCTAGATACTGCACATTTCTTAAACTCTCCAGGGATCTTATGCTCAGAGCTAAAAGTCACCAACTCAGTGCTGGTCTTTACTAAATCCTTCTTATCCATTTACTTAATTCCTATTTCTGGCTGTGTTAAGTTTTAAATTATTGACCAAACTTAGCATGAATGCTGACACCACAAATGTTTTAGCTTGCACTGATAAATTAATATTTTCTTGTTTTGAACTAAAACTGCTTGGCTGACAAACCTTCTGGGATACAGAACAAATGAGCAAAACCAACACCATGCAAAAATCCAGCTACTTTTTTGCATCCACTCTTACCATGAGAAGAACTTTTCTTTCTGAGGTGAGTAGTCCACCAAGGGCCAGCATTCTGTCGTGAAACTCTGGGTCCATTCCTGTTCAGACAATCTCTGGATGCCAGACCCAAGACTTGACTATCACACCCCTTCCCTTTGCACCAAGTAGGGATTAGCCCATCATGTTAGACTGTAAGGCAGAGCTCCCACCATCAGGTGACACAGTAAACTTCCCACCTTGTGTGCTTGCTTGGTTTGGGGGTAAGCACCCTTTTGTAACTGCCTTGCTGAGTTACTTCTGTGCTTCTCTTTGTGTGACTGCAGGAATATTCCTTTACAATTTGGGGATATCCTGGATTTCAAATCTATCTGGAGTAGTCAGATCCCCCTCCCTTGGGGAGATCATGTTCCACAGCTTTGTTGTAATGGTCCCCAGGTTCCCAGTGAGTGACGTTCCTTGGATCAGTCCCATCCCAGAATGTAAAATTCCTCAGCAATACGGGTAAGGGCCCAGTAGAGCTCCGCAGTTCTGGGGAAACTCCATGCACAGAACAAGGAAGAAGATTGATGATGAGTGGCAAAGTATGTGCTTGGCACTGGGATGCCTTGGATACTGCGCTCAAGTGATGAGATTCACTTGACATTGGGATACCCTGGATACTACGCTCAAGTGATGAGATTCACGTGGCTCTGGGATGCCCTGAATACTGCGCTCAAGTGATGAGATTCACGTGGCTCTGGGATGCCCTGAATACTGCGCTCAAGTGATGAGATTCACGTGGCTCTGGGATGCCCTAAATACTGCGCTCAAGTGATGAGATTCACGTGGCTCTGGGATGCCCTGAATACTGCGCTCAAGTGATGAGATTCACGTGGCTCTGGGATGCCCTGAATACTGCGCTCAAGTGATGAGATTCACGTGGCTCTGGGATGCCCTAAATACTGCGCTCAAGTGATGAGATTCACGTGGCTCTGGGATGCCCTGAATACTGCGCTCAAGTGATGAGATTCACGTGGCTCTGGGATGCCCTGGATACTGTGCTCAAGTGATGAGATTCACGTGGCTCTGGGATGCCCTGAATACTGCGCTCAAGTGATGAGATGTGCTCTGAGCATGAAGGGAATGTGGAGCTCAGTCCACAATTCCACCGGTGCTCAGGTGACTGCACAGAGCGTTTCTCAGATCCAGTTAAGGGATTTGTATCAACCTGACAAGACGTGGCAAAGTAGCTGTCTAGGAGTAAAAGAAGCCTCTAGTCCAGGGAAGTGGGGATTCAGTTTCTAAGGAACTCAGATTTGGAAGTCAGGATAGGAAATCGCAAAAATAAACAAAGCTCTAGAAAAAATGAAAGTAAGAATAAACTTTCTCTGATAGTTCATTGGGACTTGTGCTTAACAACTAGAAGGGTAACGAGAAAACTAAAAACAAAAAATAAAACCAAACCCACAGATGATAAAGAACTGTTGTTCCATGTGGACCCAAGGACCACCTGTAAGCCTTTGGTCTTCTGGACCAAATTCAAGGATTCCATGAGAACTGGGTCTGGTCTACTAACTCCTAACCGAACATGTTGGCAACAAGAATCTCACTGCTCAGGAAGAGACTGATCCCAATGTGAGGTGGGCTCATTTTATCACAGACTGAACTCACCACAGTAGAAAGGAAGCATGTGGATTTATCACCATCAAGATGGAAGGAATGTGACATCCTTAAGACTAGGAAGGTCATGTGACTTTACTACCATCTTGGATACTGCAACCACATGAAATAGATCAAAATGTTTGCCCACTAAAACTTCCCAATGCCACTTGCCACTGCCCCGATTCTACAGTGGCAGCCAGGGTTCTGTCTGGAGGTGATGAGTGATGAGGACAGGGGCACAAACTGGCCGGACAGTTTAGGGTAAGAATATGCTCCCTCCCTGGAAGGAACCGGTTTCTTGGCTGAAAGCCAGAAATATTCTTGTCTCTCATGGTAGCTTCATGCTTTCCAGAGACGTCTGGCTTCTGACCTGCTTCTAAATAAGTCAGGGTTACCTCTTCCAAGAGGAAAATGTAAAGGCTCACTAAAAGACCTAACATTAAAGCTGGTTCTGGTCAGATTCACGTCCAAGGGCCACTCCTTGAAGGTGGCTCACCTTAAGCCGTGCTAACAAATCCCTTAGGGGCCTTGTCTTGGTGTCCATCAAACCACTCTCAGCCAACATTTCCTAGCAACTTTTAACAATAATTTGTTACTAGAGATTTCAGAAGGTCAGTGTATGCTGGCTGAGTTTGAAAAAAAAAAAATGGACCATAGGGTGTGTGTTGCAAAGTCTTTTCTTTCAAAGATAGGTAACCACCCAGAGCCAGTATTTTGCAAACCTCCTCCACCTTGTGAAACTCTTGCATACAGGCCTGTTTACAGAGCCCTGGATGCCAAACATTCCTGAGACTCGACTCTACCGCAACTCTTCCTTTAATGGCATTTAAGAATTAGCCAATCACATCAGTCTATAAAGGTGAGCTTTCACCAATGGGGTGACACAGGGACTACACTGTGACAGGATCAAAACTAGAGACCTTCCCACCCTGGAGCGCTGGCTTGCTTGATCTGCTTGCTTGTGCACCCTGTGCAAAAGCCCTGTGGCTGAGCTACTTTCGCCTTGTTCATGTGCCTCTATGTGTGATGCCAGGTGTATTCTTTTTCAAATTACTTAACATCGTTTTTCATTTTCACACTGTAACCATTATAAAATACAGAGTACATTGGACAGGAAGACAGAGAAGATGAAGTTGGGCATGAGAATATATGCTTGCATTCCCAAGGCTTTGAAGGCTGGGGCAAGTGAATCACTGCAAGTGATCCCAAGGCCAGCCTAAACTACACAGCATGTTGTAGGTGAGCCTGGGCTACATACTGAGACCTTGTGCCAAAACAAAACAAGACCAAATAGACTTTCACTCTCTAAACAATTTTGAATGTTGTATGTGCATGTGTGTGTCTGTGTGAGAAAATATGTGTAGCACAGAGACCAGAAGTCTTCTTCTACTAACACTTTTTTTTTTTTTTTTAAGGCAGGGTTTCTCTGTGAACCTGGAGCTCATCAATTTAGCTAGGGTGAGCTGGGTGATGGGTAGCGAAGAAATCCTATTGTCTCTGCCCTTCCTCCCTGCCCTGCTGTGGTCATAGACAGGTGCTGCCATGCCTGGATTTTACGTGGGTGCCGAGGATCTGAACTTTAGGTTCTTTCTTTTTTTTAAAGCTTTATTTATTTATTATGTATACAGTATTGTCAGTATTCTGTTTGCATGTGTGCCTGCAGGCCAGAAGAGGGCACCAGATCTCCTTACAGATGGTTGTGAGCCACCATGTGGTTGCTGGAAATTGAACTCAGGACCTTTGGAACAGCAGGCAGTGCTCTTAACCACTGAGCCATTTCTCCAGCCCTGAACTTTAGGTTCTTATGATTTTGTGGCAACCACTTTACCAGTGGAGCCATCTCCCTAACTGCAGAACTTCTGCTCTTTATTAATATAAGAATACATATAATATATTATATAAGAGTATTATATAAGAATATATTATAAGAATGCTCTAACTAGTCTCATTGATTGGCTTTAGGGAAATGGTATAACTATGAACTCAGTTCCATTAACAAGATACCCTTCTTGGGAAGAATTTCTTCCGTCACTACTTCAATAGCATTCAAGCCTTTCTTGAATACCTTCTATAATGAAAACATACCCTTAGATGTCTATATCTAGGGTATAGCAGAAGGAACTTAAAATATTTTCCTTATATGGATACAAAATTTGCTTTGCTACACTTGTAAACTGCTCCTAAGACTCACCAGTAAATCACTATAAATAATTTCACAAATGACTTCAAAGGATACAGAAAATTATCTTGATCTCTTAAAAATTTACATATTTTTATTACTGTATGTACATGATGAGTGTGTAGGAGGGAGGATGTGCATGCCACCGTGGGTGTGTGGAGGTCAGGGGACAACTGTGTTGAGTCATTTCCTTCTTCTACCTTTATGTGTAGATCAAACTTCTATCATCAGACTTGTGCAACAAGCACCGTCCTGGCTGAGCCATCTTTCTAGACTCTCACTCGATAATTTATGGGGAACCCTACTCCATTATACCATGTCATCCTCACCTACTTCAATTAGCTAACAACTATATACTTCATAATTCTTTGGTAATACAAGTTATTATGGCACTGAAGGAACAACTAAACTTTTAAAATTTATATGATATCAAACAGAATGTAAATAAAATCAATATTTCCATCTCCATAAATAAGATGTAGAACACAGGCAGCCATCATACTCATGAGATCAAATGCACTTGTGTGAGTCCACCATGCTTGGTCTGGAGACTGTTGACATTCCCTGATGGAAGGGGAGTTGGGTCACTGGACCCTCACCTGAGTGACTAGCACTCCCCCTAGCCATGTGGATACAATTCCATCCTAGCTGCACATAGCTGAAGAGAAAGTGTCTGGGAGGGGCTAGAGTATACAGGCTGGGGAAGACGGACTAACAGGGATCCATTTACACAGCTATTGGGGAGCTCTCAGCCTTGCTGGGTGCAGACTTTCCAGTGTAGCTGCTTTAGGGACACCAACACTCACCTCTAACTTCTCACTCACACTCTGGAAGTAAGCACAATCAACTCACTGTTGCCTCTGGTGGAATCAGACTTTGGTTTGTCCTGGGGACCTTATGAGGAGGATTCAGATTCTGTTCACATCTCCCCCAAGAAGGAATTCTCCTAACAGCAGGCTATTTTAATTCTGATCCTAGAAGTACTTTGCTTTAAGGTAGTTTTGCCTCTGGCAGGATCCAGATGTGAAGGCTTTGGTTTATTATCGTTTATTTTTCTCACTTTGAGGAAGAGCAACCATTTCTAAAGAAGGTAGAGCCCAGGGCAAGAATTTAACTATCTAAAAGAAATTATGACAAAGGAAACACTAATATCTGACAGATATTAAAACAAAAATGGAGAATTTTTTTTTTTTTTTTTTTTTTGATTTTCAAGACAGGGTTTCTCCGTAGCTTTTGGTTCCTGTCCTGGAACTAGCTCTTGTAGACCAGGCTGGTCTCGAACTCACAGAGATCCGCCTGCCTCTGCCTCCCGAGTGCTGGGATTAAAGGCGTGTGCCACCACCGCCCGGATGGAAATTTTTTTTAAGGTTTATTTTTAATTACATGTATAGGAGTATTTGTGTGTGGGTAGGTGTATATGTGTTGAGTAGGCCCCTAGAGCTGGAGTTACAGGTTACTGTGAGCCATGCAATGTGGGTGCTGGGAACCACACTCAGGTCCTCTGCAAGAGCATCTGTCACTTCTGAGCCATCTCTCTCCAACTTTGTGAAGAATGTCTAATGACTTATTGTCTTTAGAAAAACAATGACAACATGAAATCTGCAGGCAAATGAATGGAACTAGAAAATGAATCATGCTGAGTGAGGTAACCCAGACCGAGAAAGACAAACACGGCAGGTACTCCCTTTATATACGGATATTAGCTGTAATGTAAAGGATAACCATGCTACAATCCACAGACCCAAGAGGCTAGCTATCAAGGAGGACTCAAGGGGGACGGTCCGATCCCCATGGGGAGGAGAAATAGAAAAGATTTCATGGACCGACTGGGGGCAGGTGGGGAGGTGTGTGTGTGTGTGTGGGGGAAGTACTAAAAAAGATGATTGGAAAGTGGGGGTATTTTAGGGTGAGATCGAAACCCAGTGAAAGGGAAACTCCCAGGAATCTACGAGGATGACCACAGCTAAGACTCACAGCCAGAAGAGTTGCCTGGCCATCTCCAGTGACCAGATAAGACTTCCAGTAGAGGGAATGGAACACCAACTCATTTATATAACCTTCAACCTACAGTCTGCCTCTGCCTATGGATCTGCTGGGGTAAGGGAGGCACAGGCATTGTGGGAGTGGCCAACCAACTGGTCCAGTCTCAGGCCCATGCCATGAGAGGGAGCCCACCCCTGACACTGCCTGGAGCGCCAGGACCCACAGGCTGGAAGACCCAGAGACCTAGGATAGAACCAGACATGACTGGAGGGAAAGAAAAATGTCAATGTAATGATGCCTAATGATAGTCTGCTACATTCAAAGATTGGTGCCTTAGTTAAATTACCAGAGCAGCTTCACCTAGCAGCTGATGGAAACAGATGCAGAGGCCCACAGCCAAACAGTAGGCTGAGCTTGGGGAATCCTGCTAAAGAAAGGGAAAGGATTGTAGGAACCATAGGGATCAAGGACATTACAAGAAAACCCACAGAGTCAACTAACCTGGGCTCACAGGAGCTTATAGAGATTGAACTGACAACCAGGGAGACTATATATATGTGGCATATATGCGACAGTTGTGTAGCTTGGTCCTCTTGTGGGAATCCTGACAGCAGGAACAGGGTTATCTCCGACTCTTCTACAGGCTTTTGGGACTCTAGTCCTTACACTGGGCCACCTTGCCCAGCCTTACTTAATACAAGGGGAGGTGCTTAGTCTTACTGCAATTTGATATGCCATGTTTTGTTGATATTCAGGGGAGGGCTGTCTTTTTCTTAACAGAAACAGAGGAGTGGATTGGGGCAGGGCAGAGCGGAGATGAGGGAGGGGCTGGGAGGAGAGGAGGGAGGGAAAACTAGTCAGGATAAAAATTAAACAGCAAAAAAAGGATGTAATCAAAAGGTGTTGGGATTGGAGACAGCTCATCAGGTAAAGGTGCTTGATTCGACACCTGAGGATGTGGACCTACATTTGATCGCTGGAACTCTCATGGTAGAAGGAGAGATGCAACCTGCAAAGTGGCCTCCAATCTTCACGTGCACAACATGGTATACCCCACCAAATAAATACGTGAAACAAAAATGTTGTAAATGTCCCTGAGACGTTACAGAACAGGTACTTACTCTCAGATTCCACTTTGGGCTCCTCTAATTCATTTGACCTGGTGGCTACATTAATGTCATCTGGTGCTAGGGATGTCCTTGTATTTGATGTCCTTGTTACATCACCAATGGTTGTTTCTAGTAAGTCTGGGCTATTTAGCAATTCGACATTCAGAGGCAAGCTGTAAAAGTAACAGAAAATTTACTTAAATCAGTAAATTTATCATTAAAATACAAACAAAAAAATGTTGGAAAAATTAATTGACAAGATTTATTGAACTGGCTTTATTTACTTTTTACAATCTTTGGATATATTTTTTTCCAGTCAAGATGGAGCAAAAGGGAATGAATTGGCTTCCTGACTGAAATAACCTGAAGGCAGAAAATAAACTATTCTCCGACGACAACAAGGGGTAACAAAAGAGAATCATTCTGAGAGCCAAGAAACAGGAGATGAACGCCCTGAGAGCCTGAAGAGCACGGAGAACACGTTTAGGCCACAGTGCAGAGGCAGGGACGGGGGAGCAGGGGACTACCTTAGGTGACAGAATAGGATGAGATCTGGGAACAAACACCTGGGCTACTAATGAGGACACCACCGGTTGTGTCCTTGAGGGTGTTTGCAGGCCAATTTAACAGAAGAGGGGCACCTGGAATGTGAGCAGCACCAGATTATGGGCTGGGGGCCCAGACTGAACAAGGAAGGAAAAAGGGGGTTTGGAGAGATGGTTTAGCAGAGAAAGCATTTCCCTTGCAGGCATAAGGGCATGAGTTTAGAGCTCCAGAACCCACGGGAGGAAAGATGCAACAGGCAAAAAAATCTGTATCCCAATGCTTCTACAAGGAGATGCAAAACAGAGACAGAAACATCTCAATGATGGACAAAAGACTCTAACCAACAGCATGGGAAGGACCAGCATCAGAAGTTGTCCTTTGACCACACTCATATACAAATGTACAGACAGATTAAAACATATCACATAAAAGGGAAGAAGGAGACAGCCAGCCGAGCACTGGTGAGCACCTTATGTTTCCTGGTTAGCACCATGGCCCAAGCTGCTCCTGTCATCATATTTTCCTGAGAGGATGAACTGCATTCCTCTGAACTGGAAGTCTAAACAAATCCCTTCCCCTTAATTTGCTTCTGTCACAAAAAGGGAAAAGTAGCTGATACAAGGTCAAAGGGCGAGTGCCAGGGGAGCAAACAGGACAGGGTCCTGGAGATGAGCAGATGCATAAATGCTAATCCTGCTGGCATTTACTAGAAACCTCCTGCAAGGCCTGGGAAAGAACTACTTGAAGGGAAGTTGTGGTACTCACACTTTCTACTGACACAGTGAAAACAGAATTCACAGAGTACTCAGTATTCAGAGCACATGCTTTTGTAGTGAAGAACACTAGCCAACAGAAGCACTCTGTGTGACAGACTCACCTAGCGAATCATAGAAATGAGATCTGAAAGGCTCAAACTACTACCAGGTAAGCCACACTTAAAAACTTGGTATTCCATCACCTCAGCATCCTCTGACTTCATTTCATGGTCTTTGTTGTCCCTTTGGTTAGAGTTGAAGCTGGGGACGAAAGTTAAGTTTGCCTTGAGAAACTCGATTTGAATGAGAAAAGGGACCAGTGCTTGAGAAGTCTCAGCAGGTGAGTAACAAAGAGAAGGTGAATTGTAAGGATGGAGGCGGATTCTTAAAATGAAGTCTTTAAAGAGACAGAGTAAACTTGTAGAAAAAGTAAGAGGAATAAAGAAAAATAAGCCACGTAAAGATGGCATATAGAGAATCTGGACTCTTTATTTGAATCTTTTGGCTGTGAAGGAGCTAAGTACAGAGAGACATTTCATTGTATGAACTGCTAAGCTGGACCAGCATATTTACTTTAAAGGTATCTTGAAGGATTTGTTGCTTTAGAAAAGAGGTTCTGCTTTTGTTTCCACAGAAGATGAGAACATAAGGATTTCTTCCAGACTAATGTGGTTTGATGGACCAAGACCCCCAGAAAGGTCACCATGAGCACCTCCCAAAATTACTTTGACCCAAAAAATGCAGTAAGCATTTGGAGAGAACTATGCCCAAATTCCCTAAACGATTGTTCCAATCGCTACGTTTTCCATATGGAGGCTAGTCTATGCTTATTGAAGGTTGTGGGGTCGGGGGGCAGCTTGGGGAAGCCTTTGGGATGCTGGAGGATGTTCGGGACAGAGAGTCCTTGGCATCATGCAGGGGAGATCCAGGGAGCTGGCGGAGCCTGAGGAGGCTCGGATCTTAGATCGTAGTGATTCTGAGTCATCTCGAAAATGTCTATTCTTTTGCCCCGCCCCAGGAGAAAGAACCCTTTTACAGAGCAACTGCCCCTCCTGTTAGTGGGAGGGAAGTAGAAGAGTCACGGAGACCAGAGCCAAAATAAGACTTTTTGTGTAGCTGTCTGTATATCAGGCCATTTTTCTTTCTTTTAACTAACCATACCTCGAATGATTCTGCCCTTTATTGTTCACAAGTTTCATATCATTGAAGCAGCTGTTGGGTGAATGAGATGACTGCCGCTGTGGTCCGGGTTCCAGGCTTGGTACCTAACCCAGTGAATCAGCTGGTCCTGAGCCATCCTCGCTGAGATACCACAGCTATAATGGTCGCTATTGTCACTGCTGTGGCCTTCACTGCAGCAGCCAGAATTGCCATCAGCTACACGGTGGCTGTGGCTAGCACTGTTGATTCCCTAGCCAGACAGATTGCCACTGCTTTAGAGACCCAAAATTCCCTTAATGAGCATATTCGCCAAGGCATTTTCCAACTTAACCTACAGACTGCCCCTTTACAAGGGCAGTTAGATTTCTAAGGGATTTGCATATGGTTAGTTGCTCCCCTTCCTTAAATCATAGTTGTGGCACGCAGGGGCCAGTCAAGAACCTTAGTGCTACTGTCAGCCCTTTGAATTCATAAGGGACCATGAAACATGCAATTTCTTCCTTTTACTGCATTCCTTGAGGTTAATGAGACTAGTGTTCTTCCTATTTCCATAGATTCTCTAACTAAGGGCATTCTTTATGGCCTAGGCTTGCTGAAAAGCTGGTCTGGGACTGTCGTCACTCTAGGAACTCTAATAGCGGGAGAGTTTTTATTGCTCTGCCTTTACAACAGGCACCAGCAGCAACAACAGTAAGTGCTTTAATATTGTTGCTAAGCAGCTAATGCTTGCCCAAGTAAGCGGGCTTCCTCCAAGCGCAGTATGGGTCACATGGCCAGTGAGCCAGAGACAGGTAAGACAGGAGCCTGTCACAATCAACCTAAGATCTTGCGTGTCTTGATGACAGGTAAGATGTGAATTTGTGCTTCTGCAGTCTAAGACAGGCCTGGTCTAATTATATAGAAAAGGGGAGCTGTGAGGGACTGCAGACCCTCAGACCCTGAACTTTCTATGACCTCTTGCCTGCCGGAGTAAACAACTTGTTTTCCTATGCTTGCAGCTGCTCTGAGCACAAAACCCTCATGAGTTCCTGATAACAAGGAAGTGGTTTCCGGTGGGCTTGCAGTGGAAAATCCTGAGAGCTAGGGCGTGGCCACTATATAAGCTGCCCTGGAACACAATAAAATTGGCATTTTTGCTTCAAGAGTGGCCCACGGTCTCTATGTGTTCTTTCTCTCCAGACCCTTGCCCAACCATGGTTCCAGGCGGTGCAGGCGCCACACAAAATCACAACATACAAGGAACAAAAGGAGAAAATCATAAAACGTTTGAAAGTGTGAAACAGGTAACTACTAACTAAGGGACTACTGACTAGAAAGACTACACAATTCTAAAATCTAGCTGGGTATGGTAGCCCACACTTTTAGTTCCAGCACTCATGAGGCAGAGGCAGGCAGGTCTCTGAGTTTGAGACCAGCTTGGTCTACCCTGTATATCTGAAACTAGTCAGGGCTACAAAGTGAGCGCTCCATCTCAAAAACAATACGAAACAATCAGAGGCCAGACTGGTCTCACAGTCATTGATCTTTCTGCACAAGATCACTGGTACTTGGCCTTTTCACTGCTCAGGGTCCCCACTGAAACACAGAGCCGAGCGGACCAACTCTTCCACTTACCCATCTTCTATCACATGCCCTTTTAAATGTTGTGTCTAACAGATAGATCTTTTCTCCATCCACGGTCACAAATATTGTATCTATTTTCTAGTTATATTAAACTTAGGTCTGTTATTAATTTGGAACTAATTTTTGATATTATTTAAAAGAACAGTCTAATTTCACTATGTGTATAGGCATAAATGTAAACACATGTTTGTGTAGAGGCCAGATTGTTTTTTCCCCCAGTTTGTTTGTTTTTATTTATTTGGTTTTTCAAATCAGGACTTCTCTGTGTAGCTTTAGAACCTGTCCTGGCACTTGTACTGTAGACTAAGCTGGCCTTGAACTCTGATCCACCTGCCTCTGCCTCCTGAGTGCTGGGATTAAAGACGTGCACCACCACCACCTGGCTTGAGGCTGGAGGTTAATATTCATCTTTTTACCTAGTTTTCTGAGACACGGTCTCTCACTAAACCAGGACCTCACCAACCTGGCGAGTCTGGCTAGCTCTAAGAAGGATGCACCAGTTCCTCCGGCACAGCCCCTCACAGGCCTGTACTCACCCACCCCAGCGCTCAGGGAGCAGATGCCCACCAACACACTCAGCTTTCCCGAGTTCCGAGGACTGACCTCACAGACTCTTTACTCACTGAGCCAGCCCCCAGCCCCAATTCAGTCTATGTGGATGCCTGGCTGACTCAACACCATGAGTTCCATGGGAAGTCACGTGAGAGTGACGACATACACCTGCAATCCGAGTACTCAGGAGGCCAAGGCTGGACGATCACTATGGTGAGAGGCCAGCTCAGGCTACATACAGAGAGACTGTCACAAGCAGACTGATGGTGCACGCCTGTAATCCTAGCGATTGAGAGTTGGGGACAGAAGGACTGGGAACTGGTGCCAGTCAGAGGTGCGTGTCCTTCCACAATTAAACAACAGTAACAAAAGAACTAAAGGAGCAGAAATTATTAAAGAAAAAGGCAAGTCAGCATCTTAATATGAAAATAAAAATTTTGTATTAGAAAAAAAACACAACCAAAGTAAAATAGTGAAATGAACCAAAATTATATTAGTAAATTATATCATATACAGAAAAAATAAACCACTTAAAA